AGAGAGAGAGAGAGAGAGAGAGAGAGAGAGAGGGAGAAGGGAGAACAAGGGAAATTTCTGGGCTGCAACGTTCATGCACATGCACTCCGATCATTCGTTTCGCTGGCATCTCTTAACATCGTCCGTTTTGCTTTCGTATCTTGCGCGACGACGCCTTCTTCTTCGGTTCTTGAAAGCGAGACTTAACGTCGATTTCTCAAGGACAGCAAGCGGATCCTCCAAATAGAATTGTGATATCGAGACGAAGTCATCGCGTGTGTGACAAAGAGATAATGAAACCGCTATCGCAATCAAACTCGCGTCGACGTTTCATGTATCGTCAAGCGTCATCGGCGAAGTTGGAAAATTTGAATGCGAGAAAATGTAATAAAAAAAAAACAGAGTCGGATAAAATGAATAGCACAATGGCAGATGAAACGAGTCGTCGGAGAGACGGCGAAGAGGGAAAGCAGGAAGAGGAAGTGGAGTGACGATAGGGTCGACTCGGATCGATGCTGGGCATCGACGGGGACAGCGACGGTCGTGATGGAACGAGAAGAGGAGTAAGAGCGGGAGAAAGAACAAGTATCCAAGTATCGACATAAGAGAGACAGACAGAGAGAGAGACAGAAAGAGAGAGGGAGAGGGGGGAGAGAGAGAGAGAGAGAGAGAGAGAGAGAGAGAGAGAGAGAGAGAGTGAGTGAAGAAAACGACGATGCGGTGTGGAAGAGCAACGGAATGGAATCGCGATCGAAAATTGCGGCTGAGTATTTGCGTTGATGAATGTCGACAAACGCAGCGGCAACATATTTCTTCATGCGATTCCTTTCTTCGGCTTTCGCTCTCGTCTCATCTTGGCGAGCTACAGAGGCTGCATCTAGACATGTGCGAGGAGAGAGAAAATCTCAGCGCATTCGTGGCGAGATGCGATCGAAAATCTGCGTGCAAAAGATATCTCGTTTCTATTTATTTCATTAACGAATAAGACTTATTAATCCATTTTTAAATTTCTTCCTGATAAATAGATTCGCGTGGCGCATATGTTCGACACGTTCTATCGACTCGGTCTCTTGACACCGGATTCTTTCGAATGCACAAATATCGTTTAATGAATCAATGATAATGACGCCGCGTAGAACTTGAACGGAAAGGAGATACGCTATATACGAAAAATATATCCGCCACGTGGGATAAATTTGATATCTCTTTTAGAGAATTGCATTTTTACCTAGTAATGTTCAAGAAAGTACTTCGAGCTTCATATTTAACGTAGCGTAAGTTTGACATATATAAGCTTCAATTATTTCTATTGCGAGATTAACGGCGGATTCGAAATGAAACACGATTATTCTGTCATGAGCAAGTACTCGTATATACCACGCGATATTAAATCCTTCGTAATATTCCTTCTGAATAGCGAGTCTCACTGAGACGATAAATAATAAATTTATTAATCGATGAACTCTCTCTCTCTCTCGTCGATGTTTGACAGATTGCATCTCGCTGCGGAAAAATATATCTTCTTCCCCTTTCCTCCCTTCACACGCATTTAAAGAAGACACATAATGCGCGTGATCCTAGATAGAGAGAAAGAAATAATCTTTAACTGTCTCATTTTATGATTGTCAGGCACTTTGATGACTGGCGTATTTGTATATCCGGTTATTTTGAACGGTGGGCGTTGTGATATATTCACATATACAGTAAACGGATAAATCATACAAAATATTCACGTATTTTCTATTATCTTTACTCTTTTAGCTCAACTTTCTAATTTCATTTGTCAAACAATCCTGTATCTCTATGTGCACATAAAATTGCTTAACAAAAAAATATTAGAAAGAAAAAAAATCATCTTTCAAATGAAAGAATTAAGGATAAAGCGGGCAGTACAATACTTGCATAAAGCATATAACACGTAAGGCATAAGAAATTCAACCAATCAGAGTTCTTTATTTCATGGAAAGGAAGAAAACGAAAAATTTTGATTGGTTCATTTTTTTTATGCATTACGTGTTATGCGTTGTGTAAGAATCTGTGCTTCCCGTCTAAAAGAGGAAAGAAAAAAGAAAAAAAATGGAAAAGCAGACAAAATGTTATGAAAAAATGCCGAAAAAAATACAATTTACTTCTATCGCATCTCTCTCCCTCTCTCTCTCTCTCTTTCTCTGTTTCTCTCCTTTTTCCTCTCATCCTCTCCTCCCCCCTCCTCTCTCTCTCTCTCTCTCTCTCTCTCTCTCTCTCTCTCTCTCTCTCTCTCTCTCTGCATTATTAATGTTATATATAGGCATATATTTATTGAATTACTTGGAGAATCTAAAAGATATATATAAACACCACAGTAACAAGTTGCAATATGCGACGAATGGATTTCACTAATCGTGAGAAATTAGGGAATGAGTGGGTTCCTATCCAAAATAATTACGAATCCAAACATTTTTTGTCGAATGTACTTCATTAATATGACGAATCTTTCTACACATTCATATATTCTCTATTACTATTATAACTTATGCGTATAAATAATAATACAATTTTATGAATGGGGAATCGTAGTAGAAATCTCTCCATTTACGAGAAATCAGGAGGAACATTTTTGCCATTTTGTTATATGTGTGAATGCGTGCGTGCGTGCGTGCGTGCGTGCGTGCGTGCGTGCGTGCGTGCGTGCGTG